GTGGATGAAGGAAATAAATAGGGATTAACTGGGATGCCTTTGATGATCGAAGGGAAAAAAGGACAGAATCACTCGGTATCGAAAAGTGTGATAAACTACATCGATTTAAGAGCCGGGAAAACTCTTGAAGAAGAAAAAATTAAGAGCTAAAGGTAATTGATGTGCATTTCTTTAGAAGAAAGTTGACCATTTACCGTAAAAAAAGGCCCAGAAATAATGGCGTCGAGATGAAATGACTGAAAGAATAGAGAAAAAAAGCTGCTCATTAAGTTGCGTGCAGCAGTATGGTCGCTTTATTCCTTATTGGAATGAACTTCCTACTTCCGAAATGTTTGACAAAAATATTGTTACCATCATTTAAAATTTTTATTACAAAACAAATTTCTGTCATTGGTAATTTCATGTCTCTGAAAGCTTAACAGAAATTTCTGTAAATCATAGCTTCATACTTCTGTAAAACAAGATAAAAACATTACTAGTATCATTTATAATTTTTTTATCATGAAACAATCGATAACTATAATCGATAACTTTCCGTACTTTAAAAAGACCGAAAATTTAGTAGTAGGCAATGAATTCTCGTGGTATTAAATATTCCTCCCATCACTGTAGTTCTTGAAATGATAGATTTTAAATTGTGGTAAAACATACAGTACAGATATGGTAAATAATTTATATTAAAACTACATTTTATTAAAAATTTCTATTAAAACTTAGATAAATAAATTTTGTCTCAGTGAATTTATTTTTAATTATTTAGCAATTTTTACCGTTTTGGAAAAGTTAAGTGTTCGTTAATAGTTGAAATTCTAATGTTAATTTAAATACCAAAAAATGTTAGATGAAGAATAAATTGACTTACGACGTTTGGTTCGTTAATTTTATGTACAGAGAGGATTGTTATGGAAAGAGATCAATTAAACGAAAAATAGCAGCTTCATAAAGAGTGCGAATAAATATTTGTGAAAATGTATTTAAAACATTTTCGAATTTGCATTGATTTTGATTGTACATTTGTAGAGACATTAGGTATTTTTTGAAAGCAAGAGAGATGAAAAATGAACAATGCCCTCACATGGACTCGAACCACGGACCTTTCGAATGCGCGCCGAGCGCGCTCACCATTACACCAGGAAAGCATGTTAAGAATACATGACAAATACCTTATTTACTGCCCCTTTTAAAGGGTGACTGGGGATTAGGGGACCCAGGCGCCAAATTCTGGTGGTGGAGAATAATCAGCCACCCCTTTTTTAGTTCGGTCGCCACTGTAGAGACACTAGGTTATTTCGAAGCAGGAGAGATAAAAAATGAGCAATGCCCTCGCCAGTACTCAAACCACGGAACTCTTGAATACGCGCCGAGGTGTTGATCACTACACCACGAAGGCATGCTAAGAAGGCGGGAGAAATACATTCTGCCAGAAATGTATGCCACTCCAAATGGCAAGGGAAAAGCATTTTTATCGAAATTATGTATTCATTTGTATTAAAAGACGACTCAGCTGTTTTAATAAGCCGCTTTTCCGTTCTTGACGCTTTTCCGTTTCCGTAAGACGTTCAGTCACGTATGTTTAGTAAGATCAATATTTTGTTCAGCCTAGCATCTCAAACGTTCTCTTTTTCATGAAATCAAAGACATAAGGAATTTTCAAATCTTATCAGCTTTAAACTATGAAGATAATATGGTTTTTTGGAAGTTTATTCCCGTTACATTTCAGAAAAATTCTTTCCTTCTGCTACAAAGAACATTTTACTGCTTACATGAGCCTTTTAATGTTAGTATCAAATTAGGTAAGAAAGTTACAAGCATAATTTTATTTGAGAAAAATTAAAAAAGAAGCTTAAAAAGCTTAAAAAAGAAGCAGGCTAATAAGAAATAAAAATTCATGTTAAAAATTATATTAGTTCTCTTCTGCTCCAAACTGAATAAAGGAATTCGTTGTTTTCCATAAAAATATCTCTAGATAGTTCTTTTTTTATGCTTACAAAAATCACTTTATATTTAAACATTTGAAGAAATTTGCGAAAGAAACTGTAACTATACACTTCTTCTTTTACATGGGAATTTAATAAAGCTTGTTAAATATTTTGTTACACTAGAACTGATGACAGAACTTCTTTGTCCCACAAAAGTTGAAACAAACGACTTAAAAATCTGCGTAATTTTTTTAAATTCTGAAATATGTGTATTGGAGTTTAAAATATTAAACCAAGTTCTCTGACAACGTTGTTCTTAGTCCTATAACTAAAGTTTCGTTTTGTTTACTTATAAGAACTGTTCTTTTTTTTATTATTTCAGCACACGGATTATTTTCTGAAGTGTTTCTTATTTTCATACTATTCACTACAGCCCTTTAGGCACAAAAAGATGACAACTTGTATCAGAAGGTGATAAGTCGCCAAGAAAGCATCCCAATGCTATTAAGGAAAGGATAAGACGCTATTCAGATCATCGTAAGCTTCATACCTAAGAAAAGGATCAGAAACTCATTATTTCTAAGCCTGCAGCAAGAGTACTTCGGAATCCACCTTCGACTTGCCACCTCACACTTTTCTTTCTTTTTCTCTTTCTCATATATGTATGTATATATATATATATATATGTATATATATACTTTTCGCACCTCTTATTGCCCTGACAATGCTGTATAAAGGAGGTGCGAGAATGTATGATTTTTTTTTTTTCTTTTTTCTAGAAATGGGCTATAAGAAAGGATATGTGATTCAGCTTTTGCCCTATTTAAGCTTATCCGGAGACTGTATCTGAAGGAAACACTTGGAATAGCTCAGCAGGGTGCAAATCCCCGTTTGGTATTAAAATTAAATCGTCTGGTCACAATCGTGTGAAATATTTTATTATAGGGAATTTGTTGGTGTTTCTATTTTCTTTGATATAATTAGCTGACTTTCCACCTCTCTTTCACACCTGGTCAGGCTATGAGTCTAAAACCTCTAGATTTCTTATGCTTTCATATTTCGTTTTGAAAAATCATCTAATCAGAAAGCACGCGAAATATATCACAAGTACACAATAATATCGCATCGTAAAAACTCTTGTGAACATTAAATCCTCTTAAGAGGGAAAAGAAAGGTCAAAGTATCAAGCACAGTTCAATATTTAACTTGCTTGAAGTTAAAAATTAACTTCGATTCCATTTGTATATTGAATCAAATGTGCGTTCAGACAAAGACGGATAAATACGTATAAAATAACACTAGTAAAGGAACTCTGAAGGAAACAATGAATAAATTGTAATAAGTATGTATCTGATGCATGCTTATTACATGTTGAATATACTTATGTTGCTTATGTATTATACATGAAATATAATACATAAGCAATTTAAAATTCATAGCAGCATCCTTGCTCTGAAGAAAATAACACGAGTACAAATAAGTAATTTTTCAGAAAATGCAAAAAAATATATAAAGTAAAATCAAGTGATTGAAAATGGGAACAATGTTGACTATTAGCATATTTTATTACTTTTAAACAGTACTGGTTACGTAAAACTATTGTTAAAGTAAATCTTCTAGTTAGGACTCATTTCACCGTTTTACCGGAAGAATGATATGCGGAAAACACTTTTGAAATCTTACTTGTCTGCCATTTCTTACAAGTCCACTTAACTGGATGTCCGGAATTCTGTTTATTGTTTTTTGTTTGTTTATCTTTCTGGGCCAAGCAAAATTACGATAGCTATTAATTTTCACATGCTTCTGATTTTTTTAAAATTTAAATAATGTAAATATTAATAAAATGCGTATTTTAAGAGGTTTATTAATATAAATTAGATTGATGCATAGAACTGGTTCGGCGGCTAACGTAGATTATGGACATTTATAGAAAAGCAGTTACGTACTGCCTGGAAGCGTATAGCAAGTTACGTACTGCCTAGCCGTTAGCAAACGCAGGAACAATATATCAATTTCCTTCTCCGAGTAAGGCAGTTCTGTCAATTTTTGTCTGATTAGAACACCAGATAAAATATTCTGCTGTGAATTATACGCTTAGTATAACTTTACTGCCTGTAACATACACACAATATTTTAAAATGTTTTTCATTAAAATCATAATTTTAAGTACAAACCGTCAATGCAAAAATTTAATAACTTATAATAATATGTTGTTAATCGTATTATTTCATCATTTTAAGTTGATGACGATGACAACAAAAAAAAGCCTTTAACTGAATTTTAGCTGTAGAGACATAAGTTGTAAATTTAATTTTATGTAGATAAAAATAATTTTTAGCTTAATTCTGGGATTGCAAAAATAAAAACAAGATTATGCATTTAGTTTCAGGGTTTACGTAAACAAAAACTAATTTTTATTTTAATTCGAATCTGCACTTAGCCAGATAAATAATAATTTCACTAATATTGGTAGGAAAAGCTAATTTTTGAATTCTTTTATGTAAAAATAAAATTTATATTATTATTTTCTAATGTTTAAATTTTGGTAAAATAAAACAAATAAATAATATTATTAAGCCCATACATTTCAGTCACTAGCATTATATTATTATTATGTTTGACCTATAGAAAAAAAAAAAAAAAAAAAAAAACTTAGTTAATTCGATTTTCCAAATATTCGAATGGGCTATGATCCCAGTTAGTCCGGATATCTGGAGTTCTAAACTACTGTTATATACTTCCACATATTGAAAATAGATTAAAATTTAAATCTGGGAAATAAAGAAACAAAAAAATCAAGTATAAGAAAATCCTTTACACTATAGTAGATTTTTATCTAAACACCTTCGTTACAAGTTTTTACTGTTGAAAAACGCAGACCTAATCTCCCTCGAATAGCCCTATAATAGTTGTGCTGGAAATAAGTAGAGTTTTATATAAAACCTATGCTAAGTTAATCCTTCCTAGCTATTTCCTGACTTAACTTTGCATTCTATGTTTATTTCTGTTCAATGTGTAATTAAAATTATTAAACATTTTAAGGCAGGATTACTGATAATACATCGTATTAATATTTTACAGATTCTCAAACCATATCAGATCTTCAAGAAAAGAAGGATTAATTTACTACAGTATTCATGTCTAAAGTGGAGAGCAGTTACGCGAAGCTTCCTGTTTTTTTAATGCAATGGTATGCTTGTCTGTTTAAAAACTGTTTCATGTAAACTTCTCAGAAGAATGAATCCTTTTGAAATCATTTCTGTATAATTAAATATTTAGTTACTGTGTAGTATACTAGATGGCAGCACTTTCAAGGAGCAAACTTGGAGACCGGCAAATCGAAAAACTTTTTTCGCCCAAATGTTTTTTTCCGATTACTAACGTACACTTTTCATCTTGTTTGAGGGATCAAAGCAGCAGTTCAGCATTAGCAATGACTAAAAATTCTGTTGGAATATATTATTTGTTACAGTTTACAGTTTTCTGCCTTTATTTAAAGTGATTATGTTAAAAGAATTCTGTAATTTCCAGTTTATATATGATTGAAAGCTTACAAAATAAAATTAACAAACTAAATAAATAAATGAATGAATAGTTTATAAAAATATAAAAGTCTAAAAGCTTTCAGACTTTACATTACGCCCTAGGGGCGTTATTTTAACGTTTTGTGTGCTACTTTTATTTGTTAAATATCATGTTCTTCGCACTACAACAGCAATATCGCAAAATAATTTTAAAATGAACATATCATTAGAATTTCTGATATTCTTTAGAATCTTTAGAATTCGTGCGCTGGAGCACGAATTTTTTTTTTTTTTTTTCCCCCGTACAGTGTTGCTATTGCTCGCTTTGAAATCGTTGCGTTTCTTAATCAAAAATTCCTTAAAGTTTTACAAAATATGAAATAGATAATAAAACAAATTCCAAATTTGGGATTCCAAATGCTCATATTCGGGTGAAAACGTAGGTTATTAAAAATTTGACGGCTCTAGGAACCGTTGTTTTATCAAAATAACATACATAAATTTATGCAGATTCTTCCGTATTTAATTTCTTTAATACAGGGCTCTAATATTTGGTGGCAACAATTTGAAAATTGAATCGACATTTATCAACGCAAAATGCCAAAACGAAATCAATAGCCCTTTTGGGCTAACGTCCTTTAGGCTAAAAAAATACAACTAAAACTGCTTCTTATATTTTAAACAGGAGCTAATTTTTCAGAGGTGTAAATGGATCACGTGTTCCCGATTCTCCTCTTTCAAGGGAAGCTCTAAATCCTCCTTTAGTATTTAAAACATGTAAATTATCATTATTATTGTTATTATCTTCCTTGCAGTTGTAGGCTTTAGAAATATATAATTAGAACAAAAAATAAAATTTTAAACCTGGTGTCGTTATTATTATTATGGCTTTCTTTAAAAATCGGAAGGCCTTTGAAATTGCTGAGAAATAATAGAAAAGGAAGTACATTTTTTTTTCATTTAAAATTTTGGGATTCATAATAAGTTAATGACCTGATTTTTTGAACGCTTCTAAAATTACGATGGTGAGGCCGTAAATATCACGGTATGGCACATAAAAAGCAATAATATATTTTGAAAGAACCGAATGGTTTACAATTTTACACTTTACTTGATTATTTGATCGATAAATGCTTTAATTGTATTAATTCGGTTTTATCTGTATAATTCAATTAAAGTTTGTAGCAAAATCAAGCAGAATTATTTAGGCAGTTCACTTTTTTGTAGTTTCTTTCAGATAAACAAGATCTTGGTTTAAAATATATAAGCTTATATTTTATACAAAACTTGTTAAACTGAAGCAAACAAACAAAAATGGGAAAAACCCTTTCTTATTTATAGTATGTGAAAGCTTAAGCTGTTTTGAATTACACATATTTAATTGTAAGGTTATTTCAGGGAACACTTTATATGAAATGTACTTGGCAATAAATGAAATTTAAATCAGTGACATCGACTGCTTTGACAAGTTAGGACGCGGAGGGAAGGGATGCTACCGAACCGTTTTCGTCCTGACCTCTAGTTTTGTAAATCAAGCCCTGACTGTAAAATGTCTGTTTTCCGAGTGACATTAGCTCTCAATTTAATTGGTATTTAAGGCAGATCAAATGCTAAGAAATGTTGTTTTCAAAGTAAAACTGATGTTAGTTTGAAATATAATAAAAACCTTTCTACAGAATGGTACCAGAATAGAAGGAAAAAATGTTTTAAGGGAATTTTAGTGGTATAAAAACCGAGTGAATTGTTTCGGTGAACATTTTCTTCACTCTCATTTTTTTACAGATGAATGTGGAACGCACTCTACTTCATATACTCATTTATACATAAATATACGTTTTCGCTGTTCAACAAATTTGCAGAAGACTGCAATAAAATATTTAATAAGATGAAAGAGATAGATTAGTTTGGTTTGTCACTCGAAGGCTAACTCTTTAACGGCTGATATGTCTTCGTGGAGGCCTTTTTTAAGGGAAATTGGTTCGCATAAGACGTTACACATAGGGAAAACGACTAAAATGCCCATGCAGCTAGCCCTCTTCCCCGGGCTTCAAACTTAGGACTGAATTACCAGTATTCAGCGACTTTACTACTCGGCTGCTGATGGGCTGAAAGAGGTACGATAATACTGTATAAAAAAAAGCGAGGAATGAATGAACGCAAATAAAATCTAAACAGTTAGAACAGAATTTGTAGCTTATAAGATTATAGCAATAACATTATTCGGCAGAAATAGAAAGGCCACCTAATCCAGAACAACAGAGTTATTCAGGTGGAACTTTTGGAGACAAAAGAAACAATTAATATAACATTTAAAAATAAGGCGACCAGCTAAACTATTCTTTTTTAAAGTTTATCCGCTATTCATGTCGTCAAGAACACAAGACATCTTTCACATACTATGAAAGAGTTATATAATCCATTATGCAACAACATGCAAACAGAATTTTACCTATTTGAATTCAGACACACACTGGGCATGAAGGAAATACACACTCCGATTCACTAGTTCTAAGTGCAAAGAGCACGTAGAGTCACAGATTGAAAAAAAAAAAAAAAGAGGAAAAGTCAATACTGAAACTCAAAAATTATTTAAATAATAAATCCCATGTGGGAAAACAGAAAAATCAAGGGAAAAGAAGCCGCAACCTGATTCCTACTGCTCATGAATTAAAATTCTATGGCAATATTTTCCTCCATCAATGTAGAGGTGGTAACATTCCCTTCCATTTGTATTTATTTATACTTCAGCTACAGAAAGGTGGTGAAAAAGAATATCAGTGCATGTGGAGAACTAGATGATCTGCTTACACAAGACCGAAAGTTTGGCGCTAGGCTTTTTGGCGCTAAATGCAACATCTACATCTCGAGATGCCGCTTAGTATTTCTAACATTTTGCTGGCCGAATCAGTCACAATCTTCACACCAACTTTGGCGTCGCTTCTACAAGACCATTACTGCTATTCGTTACTAACAGATCTTGCCCCATGTAAAAGGTATTTATTGAAAGCATCATGCTATTTTCGTCTGACAAAAATAGTTAACTGAAATTTCATCCTTACTGACTTTTGAAAGAGATACATAGTTGTTGTTTTTACTTTAATTTTCTAATAGTTCTTTTTATTTTAAAACAAGCCTTTTCTTACCTTCTTATTTCCCACCCACGTTTCCCTGCCAGAAAGTATTTTCAGGTTTATGTAAATTAATTTATGTAAATGAGGTAGAAAAGAATATTTAAGATGAAGTTTGGGTCTCAGTTCGATAAGAGAGCGTGTTCCGCCTTTCGGTCGCGATGCTGCTGATAATTTAAACTTAGCGTAATAGGGTTGTACTGCTACGTGCCTACTAGTTTACGCCGGTGATATTACATGAGGGCCAATTCTGTTGGTTGATTCTGAGCTACTTTGGTTAATTATATTTAGCATTAGATTAGTTTTATATTTTCTATCTTAAGCTGAAGCTCATGTGGAGTCTTATTGTAAGCCTGAGAAGGGGCCATCTGTTCATTTATTTCGAGTTGGAATAAAGGGTAAATTTAACCCTTCTTTGTTACTTACAAGAATTCAGTGAATAGTCGCTACGCAGCTCTTTAATATTCTAGCTGTCAAGGAAATCTAATTTAGCTAAGATATTACACAATTATTTGCTAAAGTATAGCTTACTATACTTTCAAATATCAAACTGCGTAATGAAATGAAAATATAAAAAAAAAAAATACACGGATGAATGTTAGTACGTAAGTACTGTATATTGCATATATTCTAAAGTTTACATGTATGCCATAGGTCATAAGATTTTATCTACTTCGAAGTCCCCTCTTACCAAAAAAAAGGGGAGAGAAAACTGAGGAGCCTATACAGAATATATATGGAAGACAATACCTACTAAAGTCTCCTTTTAAATTTCCCTTTTCTAGCCTAATAATAGTAATGACCTTATGATAAGTCATTTGATGTGCATCATTCAAAAATTCATATCATGCTCATGAAGCATAGAGGCAAAAAGGAACGTTAAGATTTCTGATCAGTCGCAATGAAAAATTTGCAAACCAAAGACTTTAACCAATCTGTACTGGAAAAGTGGAACCATAATTTCATATTTCTTAAAGATAGCATCAATATCATAATTCTCACGCTTTTCTGTGCCTTATGATGTTGTCCATCTCTATTCGTCTGTTACAAACTACATTTTTGCGGCAGTGTAAAATGTCAGATAACAATTATGGAACATACGGTAAGAGTCTTGCGCTATTTAACCTGTGTATATCTAAGGAAAGTTATGCCAATAATAATAATAATAATAATAATAATAATAATAATAAAGTGTTCATCTTTTTCCCAAGACCGCCTCCTTTGCACAGCATTTTAGCTTCCACCGCCATCATTTACGACAATAAAAAATTCATCACAATTTGAAAGTCTCCAGAAATTGCAGATCTGCAGCAGCCAGTTTTTCAAATTGAAAAAAGTCACCATGGCCTTCAAAAAGAACTAGAAAAAGCGTTCAAAACGGAACTAGCTAGGTTCCCATTTTCTAACGTATTGGATAAGGAAAGTCATGAAACTCTGCCGAAATGCTGATGTAAAAGCTAATGCTAGGAATAATAACTAAAGCAGACAACTCGTGCCTTAAATCTCATGAATCTCATTATATCTTAAAAGTTAACATT